AATCAGTGAAATTTGGGGTGCTGGGAGATGAACACCCTGGGAAGTTTTGGGGTTCTGGGACATGAACACCTTGTGAAATTTGGGGTTTTGGTAGATGAACACCCTGGGAAGTTTTGGGGTTTTGGTAGATGAGCATCTGCTAAAATTTGGGGTTCTGGGAGATGAACACCTTGTGAAATTTGGGTGTTTGGGAGATGAACATCTGGTGAAGTTTTGGGGTTTTAGGACATGAACATCCTGTGAAGTTTTGGGGTTTTGGGAGATGAACACCCTGTGAAATTTGGGTGTTTGGGAGATGAACATCTGGTGAAGTTTTTGAGTTCTGGAGATGAACATTGGTAAAGTTTGGGGTTCTGGGACATGAACATTTGGTGAAGTTTTGGGGTTTTGAGAGACGAACACCCTGTTAATTTTTGGGGTTTGGGGAGATGAACGTTGGTAAAGTTTGGGGTTCTGGAGATGAACACCCTGTGAAGTTTTCGGGTTTTAGGAGATGAACACCCTGTGAAATTTTGGTGTTTGGGACATGAACATCCTGTGAAGTTTTGGGGTTTGGGGAGATGAACGTTGGTAAAGTTTGGGGTTTGGAGAGATGAATACCGTGTGAAATTTGGGGTTTTGGGACATGAACACCCGGTGAAGTTTTGGGGTTTGGGGAGATGAACACCCTGTGAAGTTTCGGGATTTGGAGAGATGAACGTTGGTAAAGTTTGGGGTTTGGAGAGATGAACATCTGGTGAAATTTTGGGATTTCGCCTGGGAAACCCCTGGGAAACGCTGGAGCAGCTCCAGGGCAGGAGGATGAGGAACATTTTGCTCTCCCCACTGGGTTTTGGGGTCCTGGGGAGCTCCAACCTCCCCCAAACCCACGAGCAGGATACGGAAGAGCTTCCAAAAACCCCCAACAAAAGCTGCAGCTCCAGCAGGGCCGGGAGCAAATTCTGCTTTAAAACCCCCCCAAACCCCCCCTGCTGCTGGCAGGGAGGAAGGGGAGAAGGAGAGGAAGGAGATCTGGCTCTGCTGAGAATCCTGAAAGGTTTCCTGGAGACACCAGCACAGCCCGTGGCAATTTCACCTCCCGAGCTCTGCCACTTCCTCCAGGGCTGCCAGGCCGTGCCAGCTGCTGGCACGGGCACAGGGGCGCAGAGCCTGGGTGAAAAAACGCCCGTCGCTTGGCTTTTAAAACATTTTTAAAGTTATTTTTAAAAAAAAAATATTTATTTAAATATTAAAAATAATCATAATAAAATGGTTATAAAATAACAATAATACGATTGGAGCGATAAAATGGAGAGTTAGGACAATTACAAGGCAATAAAAAGTAAAGAATTGTGGACGCTAAGTCACAAAGAGCATCCCTTGTGAACAAAGGAATAACCTTAAAAACAACAGCCTGTTGCATATTCATATATCCTTCATGGTTATGCATACATTTATTTAAAATAACAATTCTATCTGTTGTATGTCAGCTGTTTCCTTTAATAGCCAAGGCCTGAAGAAATTCGCTTGTTCTGATAAGAAAACCATAAATTCCTTTTCTTTGGAAAATTTAGGTTTTCCTCGAAGCGAGTATCTCATTCCTAAACAAAAAAAACCCTCCCCCCACATACAGAGTCTCTATTTTAACATTATGTTGGAAACTAAAAGTATATTTACCTCATAAAATATGGATTTTTCACAGCCTGGGTGCCTGGAGGGCCTGGGGGGTGCTCAGCTCTCACACTCTCAGCAGCACGTCGATTTCTGATTTTTTTTTTGTTTCCTAAATGAGTTTTGTCAAGAGAAAAATGAGGTTTTTTTCCCACTAATGGGATGGGTAATGAAAACATGGGGTTGATATTCATGGTGGACATTGGTATAGGGAAGAGCAAGGGGTTGGGGATTGTGAAAATCAATATTTGTGGTAAAAATCCATATTGGGAAGAGCAAGGGATTGAGGATTGTGAAAATCAATATTCACGGTGAAAATCCATATTGGGAATTGTGAAAATCAATATTCGTGGTGAAAATCTATATTGGGGATTGTGAAAATCAATATTTGTGGTAAAAATCCATACTGGGGATTGTGAAAATCAATATTCACTGTGAAAATCCATATTGGGAAGAGCCAGGGATTGGGAATTGTGAAAATCAATATTCACGGTGAAAATCCACATTGGGAATGGTGAAAATCCACATTGGGAATGGTGAAAATCAATATTCACTGTGAAAATCCATATTGGGGATTGTGAAAATCAATATTCATGGTGAAAATCCATATTGTGGGTTGTGAAAATCAATATTCACGGTGAAAATCCACATTGGGAATGGTGAAAATCAATATTCATGGTAAAAATTCACATTGGGAAGAGCCAGGGATTGGGAATTGATTTTCCAGGTTTTTTTTTTGCTCTGCTCAGAGCATTCAGCTGCTCCTGGCCTCAGTTTCCCTCCAGCCAGGAAACATTCAGACACTCCAAAATACCCACACGGAACCCTAAAATTGACAATATTTATTCTGCACTTCCAGGGCACGGAGCCCATTTGTATTTAGGTGATTAATTATGAATAATTTTCTTTTATTAAAGGTAATAAAGACCTTCAGGATGGGAGCAAATCCCCGGGTGGGAGATGATGCCTTTCAAAACAACTCCACAAACACAGAACCAAAGGATTTAATTCCCCTTGAAAATATCTTTGTGCACTGAAAGGGCCGGAGCAGCCCCTTGGAAAGGCACCTGGTAATTAACAGGGTGTAAATTAATCAGCTTCCCGCAGGATTTTGGGACTTCCAGAGCTCGGAGCTGCCTTTTGTGGAGACAATTCCCAGGGGGACTTTGAATTCCAAGGGGTGGCAAGCCCAGATTTGGGAATATCACTGTTTTAAAAGCACCCTCAGCCCAAAATTGGGATTTTTTTGGGGGTTCTGGTGCCAACCTGGAGATAAGGAGGACAAAGGAGCTGCCTGGGAGCCCAGGGAAAGGGGGAAATGTGGGATTTGGTTTCCTGGGAGAAGCTGCCAAAGGGTTTTTGCTGCCTGGCCGGGGAATTTGTGACAAGGACAGGACCTGGCTGGCTCCGGAGTGTGGCACAGCTGATGGGAAAAGGGATTTAGGGGAGAATTTGCCTCCAAAATCAGGTGGGCTCCGGGCAGAACTGAGCTTTGTTCCTTCCTCCAGGCAGCAAAGGATGTTGTGGTGGGTGAAACCAGCTCGGTGTGACTGTATTTAAATCAGCAGAAATGTAAAATAAACGGGGTTTAATGTAAAGTGGGGTCAAATTTGTGTAAAAACGTCTCACGGGGTATAAATAAAGTTCCTCCGGCTCAGCAAGCAGTGATTCCTGAGGTTCCCACACAAGGAATAAAAACAGGAATAAAGAAATGCTCGTTAGTAAAAGAAACAATCAAAGTGAGATTCCTGCAATTAGTTAAAGAGGAGATCAGAGCTGCCTAAATATTGGGTGAGCTAAAAATCAAACTGGTGGGAAAAAAAAAAAATAAATATCTCTAAAAAATAACTGTCAGAGACTCCACCCCTGCTGCCCAGGACATGGCACTGGGCAGGGTGGGGCTGCCAGCATCCGTGCTGGGGACCTGGCCCTGAGAACCCCAAATTTCACAGGGCGTGTGTCCTCAGAACCCCAAACTTCACTGGGTGTTTGTCTCCCCAAACCCCAAATTTCACTGGGTGTTTTTATCCCAAAACCCCAAATCTCACATCTTCCAATCCCCCAAATTTCACTGGATGTTTGTCTCCAAAACCCCAAACTTCACAGGGTGTTAATCTCCCAAAACCTCAAACTTCACGGGGTATTTTTCTCCCCAAACTCCAAATTTCACTGGATGTTTGTCTCCCTGAACCCCAAACTTCACAGGGTGTTCATCTCCCAAAAACTCAAACTTCAGAGGGTATTTTATCCCAAAACCCCAAATCTCACATCTCCCAATCCCCCAAATTTCACTGGATGTTCATCTCCCCAAACTTCACAGGTGTTCATCTCCCTAAACCGCAAACTTCACTGGGTGTTCATATCCAGAACACCAAATTTCACAGGTGTTTTTCTCCCCAGATCCCAAATCTCACATCTCCCAAACCCCAGACTTCACTGGATATTTGTCTCCCAGAACCCCAAACTTCAGAGGATGTTTGTCCCCCAAAATCCTGGGAGGAGCTGCTTTTCCTACCTGAAATAAATCCCTGATTTTCTGCCTGTGACTCCTCTCTCCCCCCTTTCCCTGTGCTTTGAGGAGGAGCAGGGCTTGGCTGTGACCCCCTAAAGGGGAATTTTGGGGTCAGGCTGCAGGTTCCTCCCTCTGGAGCTGGCTAGGGAAAATCCCTCCTGGCCATCAGGATGGACCCAAACCTTTTCAGAACTTCTGCCCTTGTTTCCTACAGAAAAACCCACCGTAAATCCCCATAAATTCTCCATCCTTTGGCTGATTTCTGCCCAGCCTGACCACGGTGGGACAATCCTACAAAGTGTCCCCAAACAGGGCACTCGGGAGAGGCTCTGACCCCACTGAGGAGTGGCTGCAGCCATGGAGAAACCCCTCAGGAGTTTGGGGATTTTTGGGAGAGCAGCTGGGCAGCTGTGCCACATCTGGATGTCACCAGAGCCTGGCAGGTGGCACCTCGGTGTCTAATCCTGCCAGCCCAGCCTGCTGTTATCGAGGCCCTGTGGCCACCCCGAGAGCAGAGAGGACAGAGATAAAGCAAAAAAAGCGCTTTTTTTGGAGGGGTTTTGGGGTTTTTTTGGGGGTTTTTGTTTTTTTTTATTATTTTTTTGGTGCTCCTGCTGCTCCAGGCTTGGGTTTCTCAGAATGCAGCGAAGGAGAAATGAGACAAACAGATGTGTGGGGATGGGGACAGGGGGTGATAGCACTGCCAGCAGTGTCCCTGTCCCTGTCCCCAGGCGCAGGGAGAGGCTGCCCGGAGCTATCGGCGCCCTGCAGAACAAAGGGGCAGAGCTGCCTGCACTTCCAGAGGCAGCAGGGCCATGAAACTGCAGGCTTTCCATGGAAATCCCACATTTCTCCTCAGCCCTGCAGGGTTTCAATGGAAATTCCACAATTTTCCTCAGCCCTGCAGGTTTTTCAATAAAAATCCCAAATTTTTCCTCAGCCCTGCAGGGTTTCAATGGAAATCCCAAATTTTTCCTCAGCCCTGCAGGGTTCGGAATGAAAATTCCTAATTTTTCCTCATGGTTTAGAATGGAAATCCCAATTTTTTTCCTCAGCCCTGCAGGTTTTTCAGTGGAAATCCCAATTTTTTCCTCAGCCCTGCAGGGTTTGGAATAGAGATCCCACAATTTTTCCTCATGGTTTGGAATGGAAATCCCACAATTTTTCCTCATGGTTTGGAATGGAAATCCCACATTTTTCCTCAGCCCTGCAGGGTTTCAATGGAAATCCCACAATTTTCCTCAGCCCTGCAAGGTTTCAATGAAAATCCTGAATTTTTCCTCAGCCCTGCAGGGTTTGGAATGAAAATCCCTAATTTGTCCTCAGCCCTGCATATATCCTAAGGAATAAACCAAAACCAGGGACTGCACAATCCTCAATCCCTGGCCCTTCCCAATATTGATTTTCACCATTCCCAATGTGGATTTTCACCGTGAATATTGATTTTCACCATTCCCAATGTGGATTTTCACCGTGAATATTGATTTTCACCATTCCCAATGTGGATTTTCACTGTGAATATTAATTTTCACAACCAATGTAGATTTTCACTGTGAATATTAATTTTCACAACCAATGTAGATTTTCACCACGAGTATTGATTTTCACAATCCCCAATCCCTGAACCTCTCAGGGCTCTCCTGTGAAACACGGTTGGCAAATGCTCCAAGACAGCCCAAAATCCCAATTTTTACCCCAAAATCCTGCCCTGATGGAGCCAGGAGAGCCCTCGGTGCTTTCCACCCCCCCAGGATGGTTTCCCTGATGGCAGCAAGGGAGACAACAAGAAACAAAAATTTTCCAAAACACGCAAAGCTGGCTTTGCCCCCACGGATTTCAGGGGGGTCCCCCGCAAAACCCCTTGTGCCCCACAAATTTATTTTTACCTGCATCGTTCAAAAGTGTTTCTTTTACTTCCTGCAGAGTGAAAATCGAGCTGGAGGGAGGGTGAGAAAAAAAAAAAAATTAAAAACAAAGAAATAGGATGCTGAGCAACGATCTCTGCTCACCTGCGGGGCTGGGAGCGCAGCTGAGAGCTGCGGGGTGCCCCCGGAGCGGCTTTGTGCGCCCCTAAATCCCCTGCCAGCCCCGCAGCTGCAGCCCTGGGGTGCTCAGGGGGGGTTTGGGGTGGATTTGAGCTCAGCCCTGCAGAGCCAGCACGGCTGGGATGGTCTGAGCCCGAGGCTGAGCTCGGCCAGGCTGGGCTGGCACGGGGCACAAAGGGTTACACGGGGCACAAAGGGTTACACGGGAATTAAAGGGTTACACGGGGTGTAAAGGGTTTGTCCCTGTCACCCCAGTTTGTCCCTGTCACCCCCAGTCTCTCACTGTCACCCCCATTTGCCATTGTGACTCCCTGTTTGCCATTGTCACCCCAGTTTTTTCCTGCCACCCCCAGTTTGTCCCTGTCACCCCCAGTTTGCCATTGTCACCCCCAGTGTGTCCCTGCCACCCCTAGTTTTTTCCTGTCACCCCCAGTTTGTCACTGTCACCCCCCGTTCACCCCAGTTTGTCCCTGTCACCCCCTGTCGCTGTCACTCTGTTTGTCCCTGTCACCCCAGTTTGTCACTGCCACCCCCAGTCTCTCACTGTCACCCCCAGTTTGCCATTGTCACCCCCAGTTTGTCATTGTCACCCCCAGTGTATCCCTGTCACCCCCGTCACTGTCACTGTTTGTCCCTGTCAGCCCAGTTTGTCAGTCACCTCCAGTTTGTCACTGCCATCCCCAGTGTGTCCCTGTCACTCCCTGTCTCTCACTGTCACCCCCAGTTTGTCCCTGCCACCCCAATTTGTCACTCCCACCCCAGTTTTTTCCTGCCACCCCAGTTTGACCCTGTCACTCCCTGTCTCTCACTGTCACCCCAAGTTTGTCACTGCCACCCCAGTTTGTCCCTGCCACCCCATTTTGTCACTACCACCCCAGTTTGTCACTGTCACCCCAGTTTTTTCCTGCCAACCCAGCTTGTCCCTGCCACCCCCAGTTTGTCCCTGTCCCTCCCTGTCTCTCACTGCCACCCCCATTTTGTCCCTGTCACCCCAGTGTGTCCCTGTCACCCCCAGTGTGTCCCTGTCACCCCAGTGTGTCCCTGTCACCCCCAGTGTGTCCCTGCCACCCCATTTTGTCCCTGTCACCCCATTTTGTCCCTGCCACCCCAGTGTGTCCCTGCCACTCCATTTTGTCCCTGCCACCCCCAGTGTGTCCCTGCCACCCCAGTGCATCCCTGTCACCCCCAGTGTGTCCCTGTCACCCCATTTTGTCCCTGTCACCCCAGTGTGTCCCTGTCACCCCAGTGTGTCCCTGTCACCCCCAGTTTGTCCCTGTCACCCCAGTGTGTCCCTGTCACCCCAGTGTGTCCCTGCCACCCCATTTTGTCCCTGTCACTCCAGTGTGTCCCTGCCACCCCCATTTTGTCCCTGTCACCCCATTTTGTCCCTGTCACCCCCAGTGTGTCCCTGCCACCCCCATTTTGTCCCTGCCACCCCAGTGTGTCCCTGTCACCCTATTTTGTCCCTGTCACCCCAGTGTGTCCCTGCCACCCCTTCCCCCCTCTCTGGCTGTGATTAAATCGCGCCGCCCTTGCCAACCGCCGCCGCCAGATGTGGGGAGCTCATCTGTCACAGAGGAAAGGCAGCCAGCCCCAAGTGACACGAGGTGACAGTTGTGTGCACGTGAAGCGTGGCCCGTCACCCCCCGGCTGTCCCCAAAGCCACAGCCCCAAAGCCGGGCCCGTGGGAAATCATTTTAGCAACATTTGAATATTTCCCCCCAAAACCAGCCCCGGCTTTGGGGGTGAGGCTGAAGAAGGTCCCTTATCCAACCTTCCTGCTAAAATCAGGGAAAAGCTCCCAATTCCTGAGTTTTTCCAGCTCAAATCTCTCTGCTCATTCTGAAATCCAAATAAAAATCCCCCAAACAAAACGAGAAAACAAAAAAAAACCAGCAAAAAGACCCCAACAAAAACCAAACCAAACCAACAAAAAGATTCCCCCCAAAACAAATGGAACAAAACGAAACAATCCCAAAAAAGCAAAAAAAACCAAAACAAAACCATCCCAAAAAAATAAAAAAATTTAAAAACAACCAAAAAACCCCTAAAAAATGGGGATATAAAACCTCTTTCCCTTCCTGCCCAAGCGGAGCGTGGAAAATCTGCTGAGATCAGTTTTTGGGGTGCCACCCCGCTGGCCTGATGGAATTCCTCACACCCAGGGACACATCCTGAGGGGAATTTTCTCCCGGGATGTGATCTGGATCGAGCTTTTAATCACAAACATTTCCTTCACTTATTTTTCCCCTCCTCAAATTCGCATTTCCTGGGAGAGAAGGATCCCAGCAAGGAGCGGAGCCAAGGTAGAAACTTCCAGAAGGAATTCTGGAGAAAGCTGCAGCGGAGAGAGGAAGGGCTGGGCTGGGAGGGAGGGAGGGACATGGCCTCTGTCCCCAAGGGACAGGGAGGTGACAGCTCAGCACCTATCGAGGCCTCCAGCTGCTGCAGCTCCTCCAGCTGTGCCTCCAGGGGGACATCCCTGGGGACTTTATCAGGGACTGTCCCTCCTTTTGGGTGACATCCCTGGGGACTTTATCAAGGATTGTCCCTCCTTTTGGGGTGTCATCCATGTGGACTTTATCAGGGACTATTCCTCCTTTTGGGTGCCATCCACGGGGACTTTATCAGGGACTGTGTCCCCTTTTTAGGGTGACATCCTTGGGGACTTTATCAGGGACTGTCACTCCTTTTGGGGTGCCATCCATGGGGACTTTATCCCCTTTTTGGGGTGGCATCCTTGGGGACTTTATCAAGGATTGTCCCTCCTTTTGGGGTGTCATCCATGGGCACTTTATCAGGGATTGTCCCCTCTCTTTTGGGGTGACATCCTTGGGGACTTTATCAGGGGCTGTCCCTCCTTTTGGGGTGACATCCATGGACACTTTATCAGGCACTGTCCCCTCCTTTTGGGTGACATCCATGGGGACTTTATCCCCTTTTGGGGCTGCCACCCTTGAGGACTTTATCAGGAACTGTGTCCCTCCTTTTGGGTGCCATCCCTGGGGACTTTATCAAGGATTGTCCCTCCTTTTGGGGTGTCATCCATGTGGACTTTATCAGGGACTGTCCCCTCCTTTGGGGCTGCCACCCTTGGGGACTTTATCAGGGGCTGCTCCTCCTCTCCTGCCCCACTCCTGACTCTCGATTTCCAAAAAGGGCAGGAATTGTTCCAAAAAGGGCGGGAATTGTTCCAAAAAAGGCAGGAATTGTCCCAGAATCAGCGGCACACCCTGAGCAGCTGCTGCCACCCCATATCTCTGTCTCACCCCTGGTGTCCCCTTGTGGCTTCTGAGGTCCCCAGAGACACCAAAGTGCCCTGCCAGGGTGGTGGGGAGGGGTGGCAGGACCCCAAAACCTCTCCAGGTTTTTCCTCTGGAAAAATTCCCCCTGGAATATCCCAATTCCCACCCTGAGAGGTGTTTGGCATCCTTGGAAACTCTTCTCCACTCTTTGTGCCTTTGGCATCTTTGGGAAAAATCCGAATTCCAGCTGGGAGCACTCAGAACTCATCCCCACACCTGGCTGGGAATTCCCTTCTGGATCAGCTTCCTCCTCCAAGTAACAAATCCAGGGAGAAAACTCCAAAATTTTCACTGCCAGAGTCTTTAATAGCCACAAACTGCCACCAAAACCACTCGAACAAACCAATTATATTCCTCAAGTATTAAAAAAATGCCTCAAAACTCAAAATAAAATATAAAAAACAACAGCCCTGTGGCTTTGGACTCTCTGCGTGTTGGAGTTTCCATTCCTGGAAGGAACAACCCAATGTCCATATGGGGAAAAAAACCAACAAATATTCCCAGGAAATACATTTACCTCAGATTTGGTTTCCCAAGGAATTTTTTTGGGGAGGGGCTCAGAGGAATTTGCAGTCTTAAGTGGGAGCAGGGTGGAATTTTTTGGGGGCATTTTCCCAGCTGAGGGATGTGAAAATCGGCATCAATTCAGGGTGGAATTTTTTTTTTTAGGGATTTTCCCAGCGGAGGGATGTGAAAATCGGCACGAATTCATTCAGTGCCGGCGATTTGTGAATGGAATGGCTCAGAAATAATCAGAATTTCTCGGTCCCGACGTGCCCTCTGCTGGCAGCACAAAATCCTGGGAATTTTTGAGGAGGGAACCAAGCCCAGCAGCTCCATCCTTGCATCCAGCACTTCTCTGTTGTTCTGTTCTTTGGAGAGTTTTAAAACTTCTAAAAGTTTCTTCTGCTTTTTGATCTTTCCGTATTTTTGCTAAATCTTTTCAGGCCGTTCTTGTAAATAAGAATTGTTTTACATTCTTCTTGGCGAGTTTAAGCAGTGTAATTGGAGACGTGGCAATTTCACCCTCCAATCCGCTTTTAATATTCTATATATTAAATATAAATAGAAAATAAATTCTGTTCTGTTGTTTTTAAGGTTATTCCTTTGTTCACAAGGGATGCTTTTTGTGACTTAGTGTCCGAGAGCATCCTGACATCTGTAATTCTTTGCTTTTTATTGTCTTGGAATTGTCCTAACTCTAAACTTTATTACTCTAATTGTATTACTGTTTTTATAACCATTTTATTATTATTATTAAACTTTAAAAATGTTTAGAAAACCAAGTGATTGGCGCTTTCCACAGATGTCCTAAATCGGGATGCCATAAATGAGGTTTCAATGAGGTTTGGGATGGACGGAACCACCAATCCTATCGCATCCAGATGTGCCGGGGGAGGGAGGTTGGGCGCATCCAGATGTTCCCCCATCCGCACTACAACTCCCACAATGCCCCGCGCTCCCGCCCACCGTCCCGCCCGCACCTGGCGCATGCGCACAGCACCATATGGCTCCAAGATGGCGGACACAGCATCCGGCGGCTCCGGCACGGTAACGGCGCCTCATCCTCGGGGCGCGGGGCCGCGCGGGCGGGTTCCCGGTGGGGCCTGGCGGGGCAGCGGCGCCCGGTCCTTCCGGGGCGCGGAGGCGGCCGCGGCCGGGCCGCGGAGCGTGGAGGCGGCGGGCGGAGAGAGGGAGGCGCTGATTGGCTGGAGGGCGTGAGGGGAGGCGGGGTTTGATTGGCTGAGGATGGCGCGCTCGAATTGGCTGGAGGAGGGCGGGGCGGGGCTTGTGGGGGGGGTCTTAAAGGGGCCGCGTCCCAAAAGTGGGGAGTTGCTGTGAGGACGGGTGTGTAAATTTATGTATTTGTATAAATCTGTGTAAATATACACATAAATATTTATGTAAATATACGCACACATGCCCGCGTGTGTATGAGTGTAGAGGACATGTGTGTGTGTGTGAGTGTGTGTGTGTGTTCCTGCTCTTCCATGCTCCCAAACCCTTCCATTCCCTGCTCCCTGCCCCATCCCATCCCAAGAATCTTGTCCCATCCCATGGATTCGTCCCATTGATCCCATCCCATGGATCCCATCCCATTCAATGGACCTAATCCTATCCCAACCAATGAATCCCATCCCATCCCATCCCATCCCATCCCATGGATTTCATTCATGCCATGGATCCCATCCCATCCCATGGATCCCATCCCATTCAAATGGATCTAATCCTATCCCATCCAATGAATCCCATCCCATCCCATGGATTTCATCCATGCCATGGATCCCATCCCATCCCACCCCATGGATCCCATTCCATCCAAAGGATCCCATTGCATCCCATGGATCCCATCCTAACTAAAGGATCCCATCCTGTCCCATCCCATGAATCCCATCCCACCCCATGGATCCCACCCCACCCCACTCTCTCCTCAGAGGTGCCACCCTCCTGCCATGCCCTGACCCTCATTCCCATTCCTGTTGTTCTGTTGTTCCCGTGTCCCATTGTTCCCATCGTTCCCGTTGTTCCCATTGTTCTCATTGTTCCTGTTGTTCCTGCTGTTCCCGTGGTCCCCACTGTTCCCGTCATTCTTGTTGTTCTCATCGTTCCTGTTGTTCTCATTGTTCCCATTGTTCACATAGTTCCCTTTGTTCTTATCGTTCCTGTTGTTCCGTCGTTCCCATTGTTCTCATTGTTCCTGTTGTTCTCATTTCATCATTCCCGCCGTTCCCGTCATTCTCATTGTTCCTGTTGTTCTCATTCCATCATTCCTGCTGTTCCTGTTGTTCTCATAATTCCTGTTGTTCTCACTGTTCCATCATTCCCATTGTTCTCATTGTTCCTGTTGTTCTCATTGTTCCTGTTATTTCGTCGTTCCCATTGTTCTCATAGTTCCTGTTGTTCTCATAGTTCCTGTTGTTCCGTTGTTCCCACTGTTCTCATCGTTCCTGTTGTTCTCGTCCCACCATTCCCACCGTTCCCGTTGTTCTCATCATTCCTATTGTTCCCTTCCCACCGTTCCCGTTGTTCTCATCGTCCCCGTTGTTCTCATCGTTCCCGTTGTTCCCTTCTCGCCATTCCCATTGTTCTCATCGTTCCCATTGTTCCCTTCCCGCTGTTCCCACTGTTCTCATCATTCCTGTTGTTCTCGTCCCACCATTCCTGCCGTTCCCGTTGTTCTCATCGTTCCCATTGTTCCATCATTCCCGTTGTTCTCATGGTTCCCGTTGTTCCCTTCCCGCCGTTCCCGTTCCGGCAGCGGGGCGCCAAGGCGGCGGGCAGCCCTGCGGACAATTACCAGCTGGCGCGGCGCCGCACGCTGCAGGTGGTGGTCAGCTCGCTGCTGACCGAGGCCGGCTTTGAGAGCGCCGAGAAGGCGGCGGTGGAGACGCTCACCGAGATGATCCAGAGCTGTGAGTGCCCGCCGGGAATGGCCGGGCTCCCGCCGGGATGGGATCCGCATTTCCACGCGGTGTCCGCGCTGGGAGACAGCTCCCGGAGCAGCCGGGGCAGGCCTGGGGTAACGCCCGGCGTAAATCCCAGAGATCGGCACCAAATCCATGGCAAAAATCCCAGAGATCAGCTCCAAATCCATGGCAAAAATCCCAAAGATCAGCCTCAAATTGTGGCAAAAATCCCAAAGATCGTCCCCAAATCGTGGCACAAATCCCAAAGATCGGCTCCAAATCATGGCAAAAATCCCAAAGATCAGCTCGAAATCGTGGTAAAAATCCCAAAGATTGGCTGCAAATTGTGGCAAAAATCCCAAAGATTGGCTCCAAATCCATGGCACAAATCCCAAAGATCGGCCCCAAATTGTGGTAAAAATCCCAAAGATCGGCCCCAGATCCGGGATACAAATCCCAAAGATTGGCTCCCAGTCCATGGAACGAATCCCAAAAATCAGCTCCCAATCCGAGGCACAAATGCCAAAGATCAGCCCCAAATCCAAGGCACAAATCCCTGGAATCAGCCCCAAATCCCAAAGATCAACCCCAATCCAGGGCACAAATCCCAAAAATCAGCTCCCAGTCCATCACACAAATCCCTGGAATCAGCCCCAAATGCCCAAAATCAGCCCCAATCCAAGGCACCAGTCCCAAAAATCAGTCCTCAGTCCATTGCACCAATCCCAAAAATCAGCCCCCAGTCCCTGGAATCAGCTCCAATCCAAGGCACAAATCCCTGGAATCAGCCCCAAATCCCAAAGATCAGCCCCAAACCAAGGCACCAATCCCAAAAATCAGCCCCCAATCCTGGAATCAGCCCCAATCCAAGGCACCAGTGCCACATCCAGTCTTTTTGTAAAAAAAAACAAAACACTTTCCCAATATCTAGCCTAAATTTCCCTCGACCATTCAGAGCTGAGAAAAATTTCAGTTTTCAAGGGAAAAAATTTCAATTTCCCTTTGAAAGTTGAAAACGAGCAGCTGGAGGCTGTGACCTCTGGCTCTGTCAGCTCCTGGAGGAGGAGCCCAAGCCCAGCTGGCCACAGCCACTTTCCAGGAGAGTGCTGAGGTCACCTCTGAGTCTCCTTTTCTCCAGGATGAACACCCTCAGCCATCCCTTGTAGGGTTTGTTCTCCCAACCCCTCTCCAGCCTTGTTGCCTCCTCTGGATGTGCTCAAAAATCCCAAAATCCTTCCCAAACTGACGGTGCAGATTTGCCTTCTGCCATTTTTGTGTCAAACGCTGATTTTTTAAAATTAATCCTTACCACCCCCATGTTTTCATTTGAAACACACATCCTGCAAAACGCCCCATCCCGGGGTTGTTTTTCATTCCTTGCTGAATTTGTTGGAAATTCCCATCCCTGGAGCCGTGGCCACGGTGAGGATGAAATCCCTGCTGGTTTTACCCTGCAGATATTTCGGAAATTGGGAGGAGTGCCAAGTCCTACTGCGAGCACACAGCCAGGACCCAGCCCACACTCTCAGACATCGTGGTGACCCTGGTGGAAATGGGTGAGCAGCTCCCTCTTCCCACTCTTCCCACCTTTGGATTGGGAAATCTGCTCCCAGAATCTGGGATTTGGGCAGTGCCCGCTGCTGTGGACACACACAGCTCATGGTTTTCCACGATCCTTCCCTGTCACCCTGATTCTTAGGATTTTCTGAAGCTTTCTGAGTTTACATTCTGTTCAAAAACTTCCCTGCACATTTTCTATAAACAACATATTGTTCTGCATTCCTTCGTGGAGGTGGAGGAAGTTGATGTACTGGTGGTTTGTCCAATGTCTTTGGAGAGGTGGCCCATTCACTCTCCAATCCACTGTCACCTTTGGAAAGTATAAAAGTTGGAGTCAGAAAATAAACTTTCTTCTTTTTTACCTTGCCATCGCAGTGGCTCGTGCTGTGCTTTCTCGTGTCCTATAGCGACACTTCCCATTGTTGCTCCCTGGCCCATCCCGTTCTTGTTTAATTTGGAAAAAATCTGGGAGGAGAGAGGAGGATTTTGATGGGATAAATTCCTGTTTCCTCTTCTGTGTTCCAGGCTTCAACGTGGAAACTCTTCCCGCCTACGCCAAGCGTTCCCAGAGGATGGTGATCACTGCCCGTACGTGGGGGACCTGTCCTGGTCTGCAGGGGGCTGGGAACGGCCTGGAATCCCCCTCTGCTGCCAGTCAGAGAGCTCCTGATGAGCTCTCTGTGGGATAATCCCGGGAATTCGGGGCTCCTCAGTCACCTCGGGGTGGGTTTTGTCTGCAGGGATCCATTTCCCTTCTGGGATGCCAATGCCAAGGTGATGGCACGGCCTTGGATGGGATCAGAGCTTTGGGGGGAGCCTGGGCAGGAGGATTCCTGTGTTTTCCATGATTTCTGTGTTTTCCCTGATTCCTGTGTTGTTTCCCTGATTCCTCTGCTGTTTTCCCTGATTCCTGTGCTGTTTTCCCTGATTCCTGTTCGTTTTCCCCCTGCAGCTCCAGTGACAAACCAGCCCGTGACCCCCAAAGCCCTGACAGCTGGGCAGAACAAGCCTCATCCACCCCACATTCCCGGCCATTTCCCAGAGTTCCCAGATCCTCACACCTACATCAAGACACCAGTGAGTGAAAACAACATTTTTATGCTCTTTGGGGTCTGTTTGAATTCCAGGAGTGGGGTGGATGGAGCTGCTCCATCCCTGTGAATTTTGGAACTGGAGCTGCTCCAT